TAGTGAACTGAAGAACAATAATATTTTGTAATTATGTAGACAAATCATACTAATAGTAATTTGTAAATCAACGTTTTCAAAAAATTTACGACCACCTTATTCGTGACATGCCAGAAATGTTGAACAGCGTGTTTTACTGCATTCGCATTTTCAAACATATCCCGATCAAGGAAGTAACGCGTAATTACGTGTACAACAAGATGAAATGTTGTTCTAAGATTTTCTTTTTAATCCTTATTTGATCTTGTAAAGTAAATTCACAGTTTCAGATTCAGATCTCTTGCCCCAGTGTAGTTTATCGCAAAGTGTAACATGTTGCCATTTGCCATACAACCCAACTCGCGTTTAAACGGTAATAATCTAAAAATAAAGGGTAAACTGTCGCTTTCAGAATTAATTTACATGTACCAGTGTTCAATTTATTGCATTTCAAGTTTGCTTCTGTAATGTATAAACTCTAACATTAGAACAAGCAAATTTCAAATATTTTATTGAAAGTTACAAAAATTATAAAGAAATATACACTTATTGATTTTTATTGAGATACATAATAATAATTCATATTTAAAAATGTTTTCTTGAAAGAAATCTTAAAAAGCAGTAATAGTTTTTTCAACAAATTACCATACAAAGAATTTCTTATCAAATCTTTCATTTAATTTATTTTCTAAAAGTATCACAATTGTATAAATCCCATTTATTTGTTACTACAAACCAAACTTTCGTCTATCCCATTTATTTCCTCTATCCTAATTATTAATTATCCCATAAATGGTTCTGGATCTGTCGCGAATAACAAGAATGCTAATCCGTCAAAACCATAATTTCCGTACAAATCTCGGATAATTAAAAATATGAAAGTTATCTATCGAATTGTGCTCATTTTAACCCGACCAGATAACCAACCGAACATTAATCTGTTACTAGTTGCATTACAGCGGCGATAGACTGTTTTGCCTAGATGTTCGTGTTATGTAGATTAGTTATCAGATATACTCAGTGCACTATTCGATTCTTTCTAACAGTTCTGTTCAGAACGTAAATTAAACATCTGCAAATATATGGTAGGTTGTGTTAATTTCTTCATTCCGAAGATCTTAAGGTGTTAGTTTCGTAAAGTGGATAACGTGTCGTTTCGAAAGTGGTATTCACAATTTCATTGCTTCATTTAAAGCTGTCATCGTTTCTGTTGTATCTTTTACTTTGATTCATCTTAGTTAGAATACTGATTACGGTGTTGTTATTTTGGAATTTCGTTTCCTACATAAATTATAAACATTCTTACTAATTCTGCACTACGTCGTGTACACTATCAACCAAAAGTATTCAACGATCTGAATTTTTTAAATCATTATTTTATTTTATTTAGGTAATACATTACAAAAAGATATAATTCTTTTACATCTTTGTAAATGAAAACAGTGATTTGAATGTAAACTCTGAATTCAAAGGAAAATGCAACACCTTCCGTAGTAAAGTTTTATCTAAATAAATATTTGAAAATAAATATTTGAGTTCAAATGCGATATGCAATTCAACTAAATATAAAACATACAATAATATTCTCATTACGTGAAATTATGAATAAAAAATATATTAGAATAAAGCAGTAAAAAAGTAAGAGATCTAGCCCACCTAGGACAAAGATCTTAATTACGCTAATGATCATGATCCAAAGACCTCTCCTTGTAATAGACCAAGTAACATCAATCAACATTTATTTCCATAAATATCTTATACAATCAAAGACCTATATATTTCAGGCTATAAGCTAAAAATTCCTTAGAAATATAGTAACCGAGCAGGCTCTTAACTGTATGAATAACAAAATAGCTCTATCAAAGGCAAGGCACTTAAACAGTTCGTTTAGGATAGAAATAAATCCGCAATATGTATGGTCGAAGATCAAGCACAATATGCAAATACTTGACAGTTTATATTTATTAGCGAAAAGAACGAACGAATTCCTCGAGAAACCGATCAACGATACGACTCTCTTTCTGTTCGATACGGTTCGAAGCGTACCAGTCGACTTTAATGAAATGCAGTTCTTAACGAGACTAGTTTCGAGCTGGTTGTTTAACCACGTCTTTATTTCAATCTCTGCTTGTTTCTATCGGTCCGTCTAATCGCACCAGCATCGAAAGCCACCTCGGGAATCCGTGACATTCATTTGGTTTCGTATCCGCTTTACGAATACGACAGCTACATCTGGGCTACCTTCCATCGTGTTTTCACATTATCGCGATGTAAATCCCTTTTGATTTCGTTTCCTTTAATATCTGCACGTATTATCGGACCTCTGAATACTGGAAGGTTACTTGAAAACTTGACGTCACCTCGGAATTCATGACGCTTAGATGAATTTATTCTTCATTTAATGCACACTGAGTGAGTAATTTTAATCTATCCAGCCTGACATGTGTCCGAACATATAATTTTAACAGATACAGATTGGTTAACAGATGGTGGTTTCAGCAGATTTTTGCAGACAAAATGTCTCTCTTATTCGTTACGATTCTGACAGTTACAGTCTTTCATATTGATTCCTTCGTTATAGTCACTTAATTCTCTTCGAAACCGCATTTGTAAAATTATTTTCTTTCTAAAATTTTATTCGCAATATGGCATTTATATCGCAAGTGTCATTCTTAAATTTCCATAGTAAAGAAGGAGGTAGAAATGCAGAATACCCATTTTATTTTTTACTCTAGGAAGCCTTGTAGGTAATAGCTGTGGAGAATTGAATATGAAATTCAACTGATATTATCGCTCTCTCAATGATTCACTTTCCAGGGGTTAATCGTGAATAAATTGTCAATATCCAGAGCAAGGAATCATCAGATCAGAATAATTAGCGTTCTAATATAGAATCAATTTTCAATTTCCTCGTTACACGAAGAACTGACATGGGGACGTGGCAGAAATCACGAAAGTGACAAGATTAATCGGCCATTAAACGTATCTTCTTGCGAAATGGTACACAATCAAGAGTGTATCAACCCCAGGGGAACGCATTCCTTTTGTTCAGTACTAGTTACAGGCAACTCGGTGGATAAAAAAAGGAACGAAAGAGGGAACGATAGTAGTTAAGGGCTAAACCTGTTTCTCAGGCTCGTACAGCTGCTCCTGTATTTCGATCAAACGTCATTGGCTTTAATTAAGTCTCGAAAATGTCGATGAAATTGATCGGAATGAAATAGCATCGATTTGTTTCGTCGCCCACACATTCGCGATACAATACAGTAGTGGTTCTATACTGGGACCGATAGGAGCAATCGTTTTCGAGAAGAGTTATAAAATCTTTAGGAAATTCTTTCGTTAGTATTCTGATTTCATTAAAGCTTAATACTTTTTACATTTTCTTTCTTTGGCAATAAAATTAATTATTCGATCACACATATTGATCACACTTGTCATTGTTTCGCCTTTTATAATGCGAAAATAATTCATGTTAATTTAACTGTTTAGACTACTATTGAATAAAAATGTAACAAATAAATCATAAATTCGTGCAAAGAAAGATTCAGAATTACACTTATGTGTAATACTTCAAAGGAAAAACTAACGCATGATATGCCACCATGAATTTTTAATAGTCGCTTCTAATGATTCTTGTCTCAAAAATTAGTGCAATAATTAAAAGGTAAATCATAATTTATTTAAGATGAACTTATAATTTCAGGATTGCAAAAAAAAAAGATAAACACAATTCCTAATTAATATTAGTGTATCGAAGTATGTGGTTGAGTTAATAATTTCATTCTAAGACACATTTTCATTAACGAAAGTCTATTATAAAAATAATAACAATTTTCATAATTGCAATCAAGCAAGGTCGATAATTTTCAATCGAATCGCGAGTTTAACTAAAGTAAGTTCTACAAATATTAGTTCACTTAATATGCAAATAGCAGTTTAATTAAGTTATTATCTTCATGCCGAAATAATAAACGTAACTATAATATACTATCACATATCTTCCATTCGTAAAACGTAAGTATATTATTAATACTTGAATAGAACATTAAAAATTAATAGAGACACGATTTGATTAAAATTAATTATTGAGTCATGAAAGTATGAAAAAAAATGATAATTTATATTTCATTTTATATTTTATTTGACACTAAATGTTGGTAATAATATGGTATTTTAGAATATCTGATTTCGAAATATAAAAGTTTGGTACAATTTCATGACAAAATTATTGCAAAATAGCACTTATGGTATATCAATTTGAAGCTTAAGGCTTATTGTTAGTGAAAATATGACCATATGAATTTTTCAGCAATATTCTTAATACAAAGTGGCTGATTCTTCATTTAACATGAATAACCAAATATCACTAACTATTTAATTTCCTTTAAAGGAATTGATAAACAATTATAAATTGATATATCTCAAGTGCAATTTTGTGGTCATTTTCTATCATCGGATTAATTTAGACTTTTTATACATTAAAATCAGCTTTTTGATAAGCATTAACATAATATTTAAAAACAATTAATAAATTAAATTATTTCGTTTTATCTCAAATTTAACCAAAGGTTATTATTATTTGTGTATTTTAACATGAATCTTTGATAAAAGTCATGAATTGCTGCTGACCTACTTATTAAGATAGAATACTTTTGTGTCTTACTGTACACGTGAATATCTTGTTCTCATAAATTCACTATTAAATTGAAAATCACTTCAAGAAAATTTAAAAGAATATCTGTGAAGTGTAATAGAAAGAAACTTTATTATTGAACTGAAAAGTCTTATCAGTAATATTCTTCAAGTCATATTCATCAGTAATATTCTTCTCTATATCAGTAGCGCAACTCGAAAACATTGAATCTTTTTATATTCCTTTAATTTAGATGCCGCGATAACGTATTATGGAATATCGAATAAAAACGATGGGCATTGCTTTGCTGGACTCGAGGAATGCCCTGATCGTTGATTTTATCGAAAGGGAAGAGTAAGATTTTCTGATAGACAGTTTGACTTACCGAGCCGTATAGAAGACCACAGGAATCCATGCACAGGTACAGGCAGGTCGCAACCCCTTGAATCCTCAGTTGACCTCTAGACACAGACATTCGTTGAAATATTGCTGAAACAAAAAGAAAAAGAACAATGGAACGATTAATTTACTGTACATAGCTTCATTATATTTGATACTTATGACAGGTATCTACACTACAAAAGTGTTAAACTTTTCTTTGACTAATTATTCAATTAGACTTGATCAATTTTTTTGATTAAGAATAAAAAGTATTTAAAGTAATTCGAAAACGTTCATCTAAAACGAATCAAAATTTTAATTTCAAATTCAATTTCATAAAGAAGGATTATATATACTAATTTATTTTTCTATTTTATTCTAAATTTAATAAAAATACAATACCTACATATTGCATTAGTATAAAGTATCACGGTAATTTGTATATTTTGCATATTTCAAATAATTTATTTTGTTTTTTTATAACTACCATGCAGTTTTGTATTTTTATGTAACATGTATGCTGTAAACAAACATTCTAATTCTAATTAGAGTAATTCAATTAACCCATTACTGCACTTACTGTTACAGTATGTAATTATCAATCATGAGCTTTGTAATAAAACCTTTTATTTAATTCTCTGACTATTGTTTTGCTAAATACAATATCTAAATTTTCAAATGTAGCTTATAGTAAGAAAATTATTCTGCAAAGTATCACGTTTAAATTTTTAAATAAAGCTTGCAGTAAAAAATGAGATCAGACTTAAAAGCGGATTCAAATGTCTGTCTAATTTTGATTCCTCTACTTTTCGCAGATTAAAACCCTGCCAAGAAGGGCGCTTTCTTTTTTTTCTATTACTAGAAATATTCCATGTGCTAACAACCTGGGAGTCCATTTATCCTCGAGGGCCGGATGTAGACTACTTCGACTCGTTCTGGTTCGAGTGCAGTGTAATCATTCCTATTTTTCGCCGCATGTAAATACAAAGTATACACGGGGAACATTCTTGACAATCTTCCAGGGAACAGGTCATTCCACGTGGTTAGAAGGTATCGATTATCAGAGTCGAATATCGCTAAAGAACGAGTCCATGAAACGAAGATGAAAGTAACTAATTATCGATAGTACCATCAGAATTTATAAATTATGTACATATATATCGTTTTCAGTCTTTCTGTTTCAATCCAATAATTACATTCATTGCATATTACGTCGTTGGTAAATTTATTGATGGTACGATAAAAATATTGTTATTGATGTTCAAGAAACGAGAAATTACAGATCAATTGATCTAACTGAGAAATAGAAGGGTGCTGGCCTGTATACCTACAATTAGTTTAAGTGTGAAATAAGTTTAATTAAATTAGCTTTAAAGAGATTTATGTAAATGAAGGGTAACAGATTTTTTAGAGATTCTTTTTGCTGTATCTGGTCTATGTTACAATTGAAAGGTACAGGAGAAGCAGCCGCATTTTCTTTTAGCAGAAATTTGCTAGAAATTAGTTCTTTTCCTTAAAAATTCTTAAAATCTAAGTACTTATTTTCTAGAGTACCTATATCCAGGATACTCCACAAAATTTCAAGATTTTTTGCAAAATTGTATGGAAGAAAAATTTAAATATGTTTAAATCAGCCTAATTTTCTTAAACTGAAATTCTCTTTTCTCAACATTCTTTTAGAGATATGATCGAAAATTTCTGAATTCGCTTCTGATCTAACTCTTGTAAAATTTCTTCGCAAAAACCCTTTAGTTACTATCATTCACATTCACAAGACTGTTAAGGTCCTATGTAAGGTTCAAGCATGGTTGTATCTATATCTGCATCCCGACATACTAATCCTGTTATTAGGATGTATATAATCTATTAAACAAACATAACAGGACTGTAAATTAAGCAGGGTGAGAAAAAAGGTGTATGTGAATGAATACCTTAAACAGAAAAAAAAATAATAAGCCACCAGACAAGGGTGGCTTTTCAGTAGCTGAAACGAGGGTATTAATTTTCACACTATTTGAAAGTTTCTCCGAGCTCTCTAGACCTCTTCTATCAACTATAATATGATATTATTCAGCATTTAAGTAAAATAGAAATGAAATAGATAACATTGCAATAATTTTAACGCATTAACTACTATTAATACTCTAGCAATTTTAGTTAAAAAATAAAAATAGCGATGTTATCGAAGACATTAGAAAACGTAATTAAAATCTTAAGAATTTAAAGTGATCCTATCATGTAATCAATGTTGTAAAGTAATTAAAACAAAAAAACAATTAAGTAAATTTCAAACAAATTTATTCGAGTATATAAGTTGAGTATAAGAACAATAACTTTAAAAATTACTTTTAAAGAAATTTTGTTATATATAAATAAATTTTTGGTTTTTCATTATCTGGAATTTTTGAATTTTAAAATATTGGAATTCTAAAATTTTGGAATCTTACAATTTTAAAATGGTGAACGTCAACATTTTTGAGAAGGATAGTCCAGATTTGGGGAGGGGGGGGGTAAAGCCCATCCTAGTTATGCGAATCAACACTGAATCACACTCAAGGTTGAGTGAATTTCCCATTATCATTAATGTTACTGAACATTTTCTCTTATCAGAAACGTCGATTCCAAGGTGGACTAGATGTCGTTCTGATTAGACGCGTCTAAGAACGGCTGCTCAAACTTATTTGCAACAGCTGCATCGTGTAAATTTCGCCAGTATAACGTGAGTGAAATGATTTTTTTTTATCTCGTCGTTACACGTTCACGCGATTTAATGGAACTTTAATTTAATCTGGTCGCGTGTATGTCAGGCAGCATGAGCTCTTAAATGAAATTCGAGAATGACGGGAGGACTCGTTTAGGCGAACGAAATGTTGTCGTGAACGGTAATTTGTTAATGTAAACTGTCATCTTGCTGTTTCTTCGTGATGGTGCCAGCGAAATGTATAATTTTTACGTTTCATTGCTATACCGAGATTAATTAATACATTTAATGCTGTGTGGGCCACTGGTGGTCCATGATATTTACCAAATACACATCTTTAGTTAAGAATAAGAAATGTATGCAAGTGTATAAAAATGAATAAATATTTCGTAATAATATTTCCAATGAAGAAACATCTACTTACATACATGTTGTCTTTAAAGATATTATGGCAAAAGCATTTCATAGAAATAAATGACATTGTCAATTATTCATTTAATTTTCTTTATAAGAAAAAGTGAATTTCATAATTAAATTTCTGGTACTGTCATATTATAATCCAAAGGATTTGCCATATTATATATGTATATGTACATATACATAAACAGACAAGTATTTCATAGTAGGTAATTTTTAAGTCTTCAAACGAAGAAACTCATATTATTCTTAATGATGCATTAAGAACATTTTATAGAAATATATGACTCTGTCAGTTATTCATTTAATTTTCTTTATAAATGAAAAATCCTCAGAAACAGTTTCACACTCGACATACTCGCGGCACTTTTCATTCAGTGGACCGATAAAATAGGTACACGAACAGATACATTTTACGTGGGGGTATTTAAATGCATATTAATGCAAATGTAAACTAATACATACGAATTTTTATAATCGTTTCAGATAATATAATAGCGAGCAAAATAACAAACAACCGTGCATCGGATTAAATACCTCTTGGTCAAACTATCATACTAATCGCTAGCAAACAGCATTTAATTAGAAATTATGTCGCAAGTATGTCGGTTCCCGTCGTACCGCCAACTCGTTCAAGAATCCCGATCGAGTTTTACCTAGCGAAATTTAATTAGCATAAAGTGTCGATCTCCCTTTTACATTACGACTCGACCGATCACTTCAACCGACCTTTTTTCTCTCCTTAATAATCGTAATCGTATTCTTGCAATGGCAGAAAGACGTTCGATAAAAGGTAAGATGTCGCGACAAGATCTCGATTCGATTGAAAATCTTAATTAAACGCGGAATTATAATTTCTAGGGGCGGCCTGACAATTTTCGATACGTGACATATGTACGACCACAATTGTCAGATTAAAAAACCTTGTTGTTTAGTTGCTCGCCGATCCACCGTACTTCTTATGAATTCCACAGTAATTATAAATTATTAATTAGCAATTAACTGGGTTTTCTTCGTGCACCGTGGATAATCTGTAGATCGCTCCCTTTTCTATCTTTCTTCATTATTTAACGATTTTTTTTTTTATTTTAATATGTAAAAAAATATGCTCGATGAATGCGAGCAAACTTGTTTCTCGTTTGTTTGAAAATATGTATATATGAAGTTTTCTCCTTGCATTACACAGCATGTTTTTTGCAAAATAATTTGGGATGATAAAAAATTTTAACACATTGGGTACTACATTAATATTACTTTCATTTTTCACCAAATTTCAGGTATTTGTAATTAGGTTTAATAATTAAGTAAATCAAGAATTTCTAATAATACAGGCGAAGGCGTTTTATTTTATTATACCATATTATTGCGATAAAGCTATAATTGAAATATGTAATTTACATGATATAATTGAATATTACCAAAACAGGTAGCTACTATCCTATGACTTTAAAAGAGGCAACGTGTACCCAGCTACGCAATAAATTGAAGAGCGATCACCTAGAACATAAATTTATGTCTCCAGTCTTCAAAGTGTTAATCATCTTTTGTTAATTATAAAATACATTATACATTCCACGAAATGAATGACTGTCAAAGTATTAGTAATTAACAGGATATACAATAATATCTGCTACAAAAACAATTAAAAATTCAATTATGGTTCATAATTACTAGAATTATACTTCAGTCTTGATTTTCAGTCAACAAACTAAGAGAACGCGTTCGAGCCTTGTTATAATTTTAAAAGCAAAATCTCAACGCGTAACTACTAGTCGAAACGACTAATTTCACTTTTCAATCATAAAACGAGCCACGTTTCTTTTGCTTTCTTTTACACACCGTGCATATATTATTCAAACAAAACAGATTTTTACGCGGTGTTTATATTACGGGGCTGTTCAAAGCTTGAAAATCCGGATGCCTCATAGCGAACCGGAGCACTGTTATTACTGAAATTACAGTGTGGCCAGCTCACGCGATTTTTACGAAT